TCAGACAGGGAGCACCTCTGAAGAAAGAGGGTTGCTGTTTTCAAAAGGCAAGATGGGATGTTGAGCAGATAAAGGTCACCAGATTCCCACTGCAGTTACTTTTCTAAGCAATGGCATGAACTTGTTCTAAATCAGTCACATTCTCTTGCCTACTATGACCTATAGCACATACTTTTGAGGAAAATACAAAGACGCTATGACAAAAAACACAACTGATGCTCATGATCTCATGAGACTTAAACCCGTGACATCGGCATCATTATTATTGTTTGAACTAAGCTAATCAGCCACGGATAATCACCCCTGGGAGTTCCTTCTTCCCACACATCCAGCTAAGCAGGACCATGCTCTAACACTAGAATCAGACATTTATCCTAGGGCTTCCTACTGACTGTTTAAATTGGGATGTGCTCATGAATATTTTTGATATCAGACAACTAGGCATTAATGGGTCCAGACTGCATAACCTACTAATTCTCACCTGGCTCTGACAACCATGTACTTAATTTCCCAACAAGTTTTCAGGTTCATGAATCAGAGTTGTACTGAAAGTGAGTACCATTCAATATTATTGACCTTGGGTTTGTTTTGGAGTTTGTTGCAATTTCATATTCACTCTGCTGACATCTTAGACTCATCTTCTGGACCTTGGTTTAGTAGTTTATATTGAGATCATATGTTGCCCCAAGTGGATTTCAATGATGGCTGCTTAAGGTTAAACATCTGGGAAATCCGCACTATTTTTCTGTTGTGTTCTTAGTTCAAATGTTTAGTGGTCATGGTAGGACATAAATAGATGTAAAGGAACCGAAATGACATAAATAAATGAGAGAGAGAGAGAGAGAGAGAGAGACAGAGAGAGAGAGAGAGAGAGAGAGAGAGAGAGAGAGAGAATAGACTTAGTATAAAAAATTGGCTTGTGTGATTATGGAGGCTGGCAAGTTCAAATGTACAGTATGGGCTGGCAGCCTGGAGACCCAGGATCACTGATGGAGCAGATAAAGTCCAAAGGCAGAAGTACAAGTGACTGGGACTTATGACTGGCCAGTGGAGTTGGGTGGGGTGGGTAAGAAAATGCCTTGTGGGACTGAGCCCCTAACCTTCAGGGTCTGCCCTAACCTTGGTTAGTGTCCGAATTGAATTGAAATGTACAGCCTCAGCTAGTGTCACAGAGAATTGCTTGACATGGGGAAAATTCACACATGTAGTGTGAGTGTGTGAGTAAAGGAGAAAAACAAGAGTATGTTTTTCCAATTCAGTTCCTCAATGGTGGGGGCCAATGCTCATTTGTCTTTATATTCCCAGATTTTTGCTCATTATGTGGCATACAATTGGTGCTCAATAAATGTCGACAAGCAATATGAGTCCACAACTCACAAAAGAGCTTGAAATCTTTGAAGCTGATTGGGGAAGAATTTCACCCAATTTAGACTAATATCTGCTCTACTTATGAGTATATTTGATCTGGCTGGCAAATGTATGCTTTGTAAGGACCTGTTCAGATTACCCAGGAATTCTCTGGAGACCTGAGTCTCTGGTGGGGATTTAATTATTTGCTACTTTATAACATAAATATTCCTGGTTGAAATCACATGAAATGAAAGCTGGTCATCAGTAAATGGGCCATATTTATCAAGTCAAGAATAAAAAGTGCCGATAATTAACTTCTTTGAAACAACACTATTAGAAAAAGCAGAGTAACTGCTGCTACACAAATTTAGTGTGTTTAGAGTCAATTAGTCATGTAATTTAATAAGGTTGGATTACTTTTTTTTAAAGATTTATTTATATGTACAGGAACCGGGTTGTAGGCCAGATGTGCAGGAGGGTGAGAGGAGTCACCAGCGACAGAGTGGGGAACAGAACAGGCAGACAGACCAAAGAACACTGCTGAGGGGAGCAGTGGGCGAAACAGGAGAGGTCTGCCACCCCATGCAGGTATCTCCCCACCTGGCCGGGATCGAACCCATGCTGCAGAGGCTGCGGACAGCATCACAGTGTGGCGCTCAACTGCCTGCTCCACCAGGGAGGCCACAGGTTGGATTACTTTTGTGGATGAAAAATCAGCCTTGATCTGAGGCTCTGTGTCTTGTAATCACCTGGTTTCTTGACTCTGGCCACGACATTCTTTAAGAGTAGATGCTGCCATCAAAGCAACTTTCCATGTAGGTTTTGCTTTGATTCCTCATCAGCTAAGTATCCCTGGGCCACAGTCAGCACCCAGCCTCCTTGTTTGACCCCCTTTAATTTTGAACTTGTGCTACCCAATGGCTTACACTGCATTTCCAGTCAATGGCTTCTTCCCTTCACTCTCTCCTTACATCTGAATGCTGCCCTGATTGTGACCTGCCCAGAACCTAGTTCCTCTGACATGGGGTCCTTCCCTGCCTGTCACTTCCCAGCATAACTCTTGTAGGAAATGGGATTTTCCAGTTTTTCCTTGACCCCATCACTGAACCTTTGGCAACTTAACCTACCTCAACATCTCCGATTTTAATGCTTCCTGCCCTCCTGCTGTCCCTGGGATCTCTGGGATTTGGTTTTCTTCCATTTTGCCTCTCTGACTACCGGTCTAACCCAGGTAGGAGCATTTTTTTCACTCTACTAGTAAAATTCTTTGCTGGATTTGGTGAGGGGCTAAAAATAAAAAGAGAAAGAAATGAGGGCGAATAGAAGACCTGGAGGACTAAGAGAGGGAGGAAGGAATTGGTTTGTACAAAGAATCTTTTCCTCTCACTGTCATCAGGTGACTAACAGGAAATGAGCTGAGGAGACAAGTATGAAAACAGCAGCTCCTATGGATCAATACTCCAGGGTAAGATGTACTTCCTGAGATGTGCGATTTCGGGAAGGCCCTCATCATCCTGTGAACAAGCAGAAGAGCCACGTGGTCCTACTCTCAATTTACCAGGGAAACTGTCATGTGAACATTCTATGAAGGTGAGAAAGGAAGCTCAGTCCTCTTCAGAGACATGTGTCAGATTTCTGCCATCTGAGTCTTTATCTGCTGCCAGGCCACCCATTCATTGCCAGCACAGCCTGTACTAGAGGACCGTTTTCTGTGCCAACCTAACCACACACTCTCTTGCTTCTAGGTAATCACTAGAAAAATTAGATTGCCACTGTGCAATTGCAGCCACCCATCAGGGCAAGCTAAGTGAATTTGCTCACAACTGTTTCCCCCTCCTTGCTCGGCCTGAAGGGACTAGCTCAGAATGCTGGGTGTTGTAGAAACACAACGGGCCGTCACAACACCTGCCAAGTTGCTCCTCTGTAGGATAGACACAAGTCCTCAGGAAAACTAAAAATAAAGCCCTGCTTTGTAGTGCGAACTTCCAGGCCAATGTCACACCACCAAAGTTGGGAAGAGCTGAGAGTTAGAATTGGGAAGAGACTTAGACAGGTAGTCCTCACGCCAGTAGCAGCTGCTCCATCACACTGTGAGCCTTTTACACTTGCCATCTCTTGCTGACTTTTTTCAGGGATCTAGGGCCGGAGTGGGGTGGGTCCATCCAAGAAGTCTCAAAGCCAACAGTAACCCCAGAATGCAACACTCCACTTAAGATTGCTCAGTGGTTGAGTGAGAAGAGCTGCTCCACATATGTATAAACTGCTCAAACTTTAGAAACAAACATCCAGCAAAAAGAAAATGACAGCTGTGAGCATCTGTACACAGAGCTACACTCTGAGGCAGATGCTGGGTGGGGAGGCCGGCGTCCTCACTGTGGCAAGGGAGGTGATGAGGGGCAGAGGGGAGTACAGACAACGGACACTAGGACACACACACACACATTTACAATACCAGCTACGGGAGTGTGGTGTGTGTGTGTGGGAATGGGGGTGTGTGGAGGAGAGGGAACAGCACAGTTGCATGGGTCAGATTGTTCATTCTGGAAGGAGGAGGGATCTTTACATCATATTCAGTGGCTGGTGCACTCAAAGAGTGTGTACTTTGTGGAGAGGATGGGACTAGCACCTGGGCAAAGATGAGGCTTTGTGAGCAGGGTCATCCCTACAAAAACTGGGGCTGCTGGGCATTGCTACGGACACCAGTGTACCCCCAATGCCCAGGCAAAGCTGGCTGCCAGCCCACACTCAGGCCAGTGCCTGGTTGGAGGGAACTCCTGTAGAGAGTGACGCAGTCATGTAGCAAGCTGGCAATGATGCCAGCCAGCACCCAGCAGGATGGACTTCATGATCAGCTCCAGCTGCATGGAAGATGCCAGCGTCACTCTTGGCCTGATCAGAGGCAGCTCCTGGGACGCTGGAGACCACGGAGGCTGAGGCGCCCATGACCTGGAAAAAGGAGACCAACTCTGGGCAGCTCTTGACCTTCGACAGGTCTGCGGGTGAAGAGCTGGGTTGCTCAGCAGCTGAGCAAGAGGTGGGGTCGAGGTCTGGCTTGGTGGGCAGAGGGCTGGAGGCTGTGAAGGCCGATGGTCTGCAATTTTTATAAAAGTCAAACTTTGTTGCGCATGAACAGCCTGAAGCAGGATGCAAACAGTTTGGAAACTGAATTCACAAAAGGACAAAAAAGACAAGTGGATTCACTCATGCTAATGCCTCCAGATGGTGCTGAGCACAGAGCACAGCCCTGTCCTTGACTTATCTTGCATATGCATGTCTCACACTTCCCAGGGCATCTGAACAGGCCCAGTGTGCTCTTGAGAACTTGGCTGCAGAAGAGTAACTCTGAAAGTAGACAACAAAAAGGGAGGTTGGAACCATTGCCTCTCAGCTGGACCTCGTGGTCCCTGTTGCACGGTTACTTTTACGTGTTGTTAATTTTTTTAACCAATGGCAAAGGGGACAGGAAGTGCTGTAGGTTAGTGAGAGGATGAGGGAGAATCTCTGCATTCCCTGGAGATCTCCTGCAGTTTGGAAGCCTCTTTCCCAGCTGCTCTTCTGGACTGGCATTCAGAGTTTGCAGCCGCCACAACTTACCCGTCTGCACCCTGTGGCCCTGGTCTTCAGCTCTGGCTTCTGATGAATAGTTTCCACAGCAACCAGAGTAACACCTCCAGCCAGCTAGCTCCTACCTGCAGAGATGAAAAGAGTAAAGGAAACATGAGCTAAGAGCAATTAATCATCATCGTATGCATTTAAAAGGAATTGCAGCTTAATCACTGAGTATTGTTTAATAAAAAATATCCATATTAATTGGCCAAATTTTACTTTATTTTTGATGGTTGTATTATTTTTTTCTTTTGACTGTATTCCTGAATGATTGATTTTTTTGTTAGGTGGTTCTAATTTCTGGAACAACGGCCTAAAATATTACTTAAGCTGGAGCTTAAGATTCTTCAAGAGGTCAAAAGATTCTGATGCAGAGAAAGCGTAGTGAACGGAAAACTGCAGGTTCTCAGGCAGAAAGAAGTAGCAGTTTCCAGAATTTTCTTTCTCTAGTTTTGCTAGCTGCCCAACTTCCTTACTTTTTTGTTGTTGTTGTTGTTCTTCCCGACATGTCCACAAATCTAAATGGCATTGCCTGATGACTGACGGGAGAGAGATGAGCAAGGTTACAGAAATGCGTAAGAAAGGATAATGGGGGGAAGATGATTTTAGACTCCTATTTCTTGTTGCCTCTCAAAAGTCCCCCAGTTACTGAAAGTCTATGACTTTTATCTCTTTTGGAAACTCTGAGCTGTAGATCTCCATGATCTGTTCACTGTCTGAATTTTATTCGTTCATTCAACTAGTATTTATTCAAACTTTATGTGCCATACAGAGAGAGAGGGATAAGATAGGAAGTCCTCATAGAGATTTTATGGGTATCTTAATTTTTCCACTTCAGCTCTTTGTTTGCTTAGGAATTAAAGTAATCTCTTCAAAACCAAGATAAGGGCATGAAAGTAACCAGGCTGGCCAAAAATTATGAAGATTGTGAATCTATCTTTTCAGTAGAGGCTGACTGGGTATGTACAGAACAGTATATGGTTTTTACCAGAGAAGTCTGCTGGGGAAAATGAACCAGGCATGTCCCCTGGGGTGGCGAGGACTCATGGGTAACAACAGTGTAAGGAAACTCTGATCCTAGGACACAGGTTCTTTGCTCCTTATTGCTTTCCCTTTGCTGCCTCTGGTGCTCTTGACTGCACAGATCTCAGCCCCAGCAAGAAGGATATCCCAGGTCTACATCCCAGTCATGATCCTCACTGGAATTGGGAAGCAGATGTACTGGAATCATCTTTTTCAGTGTTATATTTATTATTTCCTGAAGTTGACTTTTAAAACAATTAAGAGAAGAAGCAAGCAAAATACATTTATCCTGTTTTTTCAATTGCCCTACATAATTACATTTACTGGTGTTCTCAATTCACATGGATTTGAGCTGCTGTTCCTTTTTAGCCAGAAGATCATCCTTTAGTATTGCTTGAAAGGCAGGTCTGCTGTCAATGAATTTGTTTAGATTTTGCTTATCTGGGAATCTATTTATTTTGCTTTCATTTTTGAAGTATAGCTTTGCTAGGTATGGAATTCCTGGTTAATAGTCTTTTGTTCTCTCAGCATTTTCAACACATCATCCCACAGATTTCTGGCTCCATTTTTTTTCATGAGAAGTCAGAGTTTAATCTTATTGATGTTCCCTTTTATGTAAGAGTCATTTTTCTTTTGCGGCTTTCAAAATTTTCTCTTATCTGTCTTTTTGTTAGGGGGAAAGGATGTCCTGAGCTAATCCCATACAGGCTTTGTGGACTCCACCCCCACCCCAGGCCAAAGCCAAAGACACTGGGAACTCCAAATCCCATCACCACCAAAGGGAAGGTGGCTGGGACCTGAGGGTGGGGTTAAGCTGCCAGGTTGGTATAAAGCCAGACACGTGGGCTTTGCAGGGGTTCCCCCATTTTGGCTCTCCGCCAGCTCGCAGCTCCAGCCAGCGCTGAGAGTGCCTTTGGGTTTCCAGGTTGGCGGGTTGGGTAGGATGCATTAAAGATTTTATTTCCCTATTTTCTCCCAGAGTTGTACATTTTCCTTATTTCCTTTTCCCTTGTAAATAAACCTTTTATTAACCTTTTGTGTATGCCTGAAGTGGAATATTAATAAGTCCCTTTTAAGCGCACGGGTGAGGACCCATAGCCCGGCAACCCGTTCAATATCGGGGCTGCCCTATAACATTTTGACCATTTAACTATGCTATGTCTAGGTGTGAATCTCTTTGAGTTTTTCCTGCTTGAGGTTTATTAAGCTTTTGGGATGTGAAAATTTCAGTCATTATTTCCCCAAGTATTTTTTTCTGCCTTTTTTGTGTTTTTCTCCCTCCACCTCTCCTCCTGGGACTTCCATTAATTGGATATTGGTTTAATTAATGTTATTTCACAAGTCTTTGATACCTATTCATTTACCTATTCATTTATCTTCAATCTTTTGTTTTCCTGTCCTCCTTTCTTCTGTTAGTTCAGATCTGCTTTTTAGTCCTTCTGTTAGGGAGAAATGATGTCCTGAGCTAATCCCATACAGGCTTTGTGGACTCCACCCCCACTCCAGAGTTAAGCCATCAAGACATTGGGAAAGACAAATCCCATCACCACCAAAGGGAAGGCGGCTGGGACCTGAGGGTGGAGTTTAACAGCCAGGTTGGGTATAAAAACCAAACACGTGGGCCTTGGGGGGCTCGCTGTCGCTCACCTCCTGGCTTCAGGGCTCCTGGCTCGCTGCCAGCTCTCAGAGCACCATTTGGGATTCCTGATCAGCAGATCAGGTAGGACTTATTTAAAACTTTGTCTCCCACTTTTCTCCCTGAGCTGTACATTTCTTCATTTCCCCTTCCCTTGTAAATAAACCTTTTATTAACCTTTCGCGTGTGCCTGCAGTAGAGCATTGATAAGTCCTTTCAAGCGCACAGGTGAGGACCCACAGTCAGGCACCCCGTTTTGTATCGGGGTTGCTCTACAACACTTCCACGGAATTTTTCACTAGTCTTTGAACTTGTTACCCCAGAATTATTTGACTCTTTAAAAAAAAAGTATTTCTTCCTCTATTTGTTTAGATATTATTGTAATACTTTCATTTAGTTGTTTAAAGATGGCTCCTTCTGGTTCTTTAAATATGGTTATAATAGAAAATTTGAAGTCTTAGTCTTTAACTCCAACATCTGGGCTTTCATAGAGACAATTTCTACTAACAACTAGTTTTCCCATGTATGGGTTATATATGTATATATTTATGTTTCTGCACTTCTGGTAATTAAAAAAAAACTGGACATTTTAGGTAATACATTGTAGCAATTCTGGATTTTTATTCTCTGAATTTTGGTTGTTGTGTTTGCTCTTTGGTTTGTATAGTGACTTGCTGGGCTGATAGAGTCTGTACAGTGTGTGGCGACTAAAGTCTCTGGAATTTTTGTTTTTTTTTTTAAAGATTAGGTTTTTTTTTTTTTTTTAAGATTTATTTATTCATGCATACAAGAACCGAGGTACAGGTTAGAGGTGCAAGAGGGTGAGAAGATTCACCAGAGACAGAGCGGGGAACAGAACAGGCAGACTGACTGAAATACACTGCTAAGGGGAGCAGTGGGCAAGACAGGAGAGGTCTGCCGTGCCATGTGGGATTCTTGCTGGCTGGCCAGGATCAAACCCTCGCTGCAGAGGCTGCGGGCAGCTTCACAGTGCTGCGCTCAACTGTCTATGCCACCAGGGGAGGCCCTAAAGTCTCTGGAATTTTTAATTATAGTTTTGATATTGAAGCCAGTCTATTCCTAGGAGTCATTCCTGGGTCAGCACAACTGAATGGTCACCCAGTGACTGGTTAGAAGTTTATCTTAAATACCTTGAGCCATGAAGGTTTCCCACCACTGCCAAGTGACCTGTGTGGGTTGATGCACACGTTCAAAGTTCAGGTGGCTCACAATTCTACCTTGACTTGCGCTTTCTACCTGCACAGAGCCTCACGGTTCTATAGAGGCCCTGGGACTCCCTTTCATCTTTCCTGAATGTGCATGCATACAATCTTCCAAATATCAGGAAGGTATTAGAGCTTTTCAATAGCCCAAGGTTATCTCATTTCCCCCAGGTATCCCTTTTATTTTATTTTATTTTTCATTTTTGACCTTTAAATTTATTTGATAATATGCCTATTAGAAATTTCATTTATGAAAAAAGGTGGATTAATTTTCCTTTTCTCAAATCATTCTATGTCTTTTTTAAATTTTTTTGTTTTATTTAACTTATTTTTTACATCATTTTTCATTTTTGTACAATGTATGCATTTTCTTTTTTTTTTATTAGATAATAAATTTTATTGTTATATTCCCCATACAATTGCAGCCCCCCCATTCTGACCCCAATCCCCCCCTCCCGCCCCCGCCCCCCTAAAAGTGTCTCTGGTTCATAGTTTTTTGCTGATTTTGATTTTCACTTTCTTATAGTTATTCATTTTCCTGGTCCCTTATTTAAGTTTTCTAGATTCCTGCTATGAGTGAGACCATCCGGTATTTTTCTTTTTCTTTTTGGCTTATTTCACTGAGCATGATCCCTTCCAGCTCCATCCATGTTGCTGCAAATTGCATGTGTTTATCTTTTTTGAATGCTGAGTAATATTCCATGGTATATATGTACCACATCTTCTTGATCCAGTCATCTATTTTTGGGCATTGGGGTTGTTTCCAAAGCTTAGCTATTGTAAACAGTGCTGCTATAAACATAGGGGTGCAGGTGTTCTTTAGAATTGATGTTTCTGTGTCCTTTGGGTAAATTCCTAGGAGTGGAATTGCTGGATCATATGGAAGCTCTATGTTTAGTAGGTCCAGAAATCTCCACACAGCTTTCCACAGTGGTTGGACCAGTTTGCACTCCCACCAACAGTGCAGGAGAGTTCCTTTTTCTCCACACCCTCGCCAACATTTGTTGTTGCTAGTTTTTTTAATATGTGCCATTCTCACTGGTGTAAGATGGTATCTCATGGTAGTTTTGATTTGCATTTCCCTGATGACAAGTGATGTTGAACATTTTTTCATATGCCTCTTGGCCATTTGCATTTCCTCTTCTGAGAAGTTTCTTTTTAGCTCTTCTGCCCATTTTTTGACTGGATTATTTTCTTTGTT